TGCGCTTGGGATGTGCTCAATTTGCGCCGGGCCTTTTTGTCTTTTTCAGTTTCATTGGAAAACTTCATTAAGCATTAGGGGTTTGAATTTTGTCTGAAGCTGGCCCCAAGAATAGATGGAGTGAGAAGGAGAGGCAGGCAATAGGAGAGAATCGAGATAACAGGCCAGTATTCACCATGGGTTGTGAAGCCAATGATGATGAATTCTTGCGAGTAATTTGTGATACGTTCTTTGATTTATCTATTTCAGTTATTCGATAACATCACTCCATAATATGCTTTTATTTGCTCATCGGTAGGTTTGTTCTTCTTTTTCCAAGGATTCAAATGCAGTTACCTTTAGTGATTTTAATATGTGACTATAAAGCATATTTGTGTCGTGGTTTGCATAAGCACAATTAAGCCTCTGGTCTAGTCTGCTCTAATATTTTCGTGTGCTGTGAATTTAAGTCTGTTTATATTAAACCTTGTTTCCCTCTCGGTTGTTTCGTAGTTTTCGGTTTGTTTTGATTTTGTTGTTTTTATGTTTATAGAAAATATGAACTCGAGATTTCACTAAGTAATGATCCGATCCACATTCTATAACCCTGTATATTCGGGTGTCTTGCACTTTCAGTTCAGATATCTGCCGAACTATAATATAGTCAATTACTGCATCTATTCGCCTTGTGTTCTGATGCCAAGTATATTCATGGAAGAATAAAAAGGTGTAACACGTTATATAAAAGTATATTTTTTAGTTAATTAAATACAATTTTTACATTTATAAATATATTATTAAAGTAGCCTCAGTGATGCCCTACATTTAAATGAAAAAATAATTAAAAAGTACATTTTAAAAGACATTTTATTCTATACCTCTTGGAAGTCAAAACTAAATCTAATAATTAACTTGGCGAGGATGGGTTCTTATATTCATATTTAAAGACAGACTTAAGTGAAATAGCCATTAGGTGTATTCGTTTATTTGCCAGGTTCTAGGGCGTCTTGATAAGACACGTCAAAGAAATGTGAACACACACTTCTCTTCTTACAGAATTTGTCAGAATTAAAGAATTTGTCATGTAGGTGAATAACTATGAGAATCACTTGATTAAAAACAGTGCCAACATATTATATTATTGGTAGGTAAACTTTAATTTCTGATATTATTGGTTGCTAAATGTTCTATGCTTTTTTATTATGACTATTTTCAAGAAAATATCTTTAGTATTTTTTGGCCAGCTATGCTTTCTTTACTCTTAAGATTTTAGTTCATTACAGACTAAACAATTTTCTCACAAAGAGCTAGGGATGTGAACAGTGACGTTTTTGCTTGGTTCTTGGACATTGAAAATGCATTGGCAGAATATACCTCGAAAAACTCAGTTATCTTAAAAGCAATGGTAATACAAAAGTATGATCTTAGGATCATAGCCAACATATACATGAACAACAAAAAAGTAAAATATAAGTGGTAGACAAGTACTCTGAGTAATAAAGCATGCTACGAGGCATTCGCCAGGCATATGTTTTTTTCGGAAATGTAATTCAAGATTTATTCTGAGCATCACTTTCAGCTTTAGAAGGCATTGAAAATGGAATATCAGTAAACACGATTTCCATAAATAATTTCTTTCTATTCTATTTCTTTACTAATAATTTCTAAGTTTTACTTGCCAACACTTCATAAGGACTTTCAACATGAACATGACATAACATCCGCCAAACCAAGGTAATGACCATCAAAAAAATTATAGCATTAACCATAAATTCTTTTTAAACAATGATATACTACAAGAGATCAGAATTTGGGCTGCAACCTGAACGAAAATTGGGATTCATATTAGAATCGAGAAATTTAGAAGTATATTTAACAAAATGAAGAATGTATTGTGTAACTTGCTGTGTAATATACATATTAGATTGCGCGTGCTCAGGTGTTGTGTGTTCGACTTTTTTGTATGGCGTAGAAGCTTGGACTTTGTCAGCCGCCACCAGTAAGAAAATAACAGCTTTCAAAATGTGATGCTATTGGGGAATATTACGAATAGCGTTTACACATTAATTTTTGTCAATATCGTAAGATAATATCCACCCACTTCTATGTTTAACATATTTTAGAATACCAATACAATACATGGATACATCTATTTCATTTCCTATAAGTCTGTTTATTTAAATACAAAAAATATTTAAAATTATAAATTTTCTGGTATTCGATGAGAGTTTTGATTTAAATAACTAAATACAATATATACAAATCTAATATTTCATCTTATTACATCAAAACCAAAGCAAAATAACATTCATTGCTATTCAAATAAATGTGTGTACAATTTTTATGTGTAAAACATGCAAAATACTTAGTAAATCAAGCTAACTAATTAATATACAATAGTATCTCTAAAACAAATGAAGTGAAGTTTGATAATAGTTTACTAAATATATAATTTTCGCTTAATGCTACAAGGTATTAAAAATGGAAAAGTAAAAGTATTAAAAAATAGAGGGTAGAGGAAGTAAAAGGTGCAAGAGTGAGGAAGTTTAAAATCATGATCCACTTACTAACTATAAAAATAAGCGCTTACATCTTACAGCAAAACTATGAAATAATTGTAATTGGAAGCTTGGTAATGGTACTACTGATAGTTGTAGAAACTATTCCCTAAAGATCAATGAAATTTTTATAAACCTACGATTGTTTAGTTAAGAAAATTAAGAGTTAATAAACTGGAAAAACGAACATGAGAAATGTTTTATTAAAAGTACTAAGAAACTCAGCTGACGATAGATAGTATTCAATATCAACAAATTATCTTCCAAATTGTGGATAATTTATAATCTGAGTCTATTTATTGGCTAAACGATATTTTGGTATTATTGTCCTCACTTTCAGTCAAATAAGGCACTTATATATCTTTTCTACATTCATGCAAAAATCAAAACTTTACTGATCTATAGTAGATCTAAAACAACTATATGTTTATTGCACTAGTGCTATACAATTTTTACTACACTCAGCTGTTATTCTGTAACAGCGTTTTGTAATCATTCAAACAGACGTAATATTTAGTACAATTTCTATTAGATTTTATTACAGTTTAAACAATTGTGTATTTTATATTATTTTCAATCATATTTATTAAATACTGTACTACGGAATTACTAGAAAACTGCCATTAATTACTAAGTTTTTTCAAACCTATGCGCTCATCATCAACATGGTTGTACACTCCTTAAAGGGCCTCGACTTTATCAAGCTTTCTTTGCCATTCTGCTTTGCCTTTTTCAGTTGGCAAAAACGATCGTTTCAGCATCATGAAATAATTGTCAAATTAACAAAATTGAGTTAAAATAACATATAATTTCATCAGCACATCAATACAACATCTCTAGAAGATAGGCACATTTAAAAGGTGCTTTGGTAGAAGTTATAAATTTTACAGAAAATGTGTTTCTCATAAAATGGTAACAAGCCCTCATCCCTTTGGCATGACTACTCAAGGTATGACAAGCAAGGATGACAGCTTGCCTGTCCTCAAAAGGAGATATTGAGATAACAAATTACTGACACCAATGGCATCCATGAAGAATTCGGTATAACTAAAACATCAAAACTGATTTCAGCGTTTTTGATGATAGTGTCTTAAATAATAGGTATTAAATATTGGTGCCTGTAATTTAGTACACAAAGATCTAACAACTTGGCAAAACTGTGTCCTAGAGAAACCTTTGTAGAATCAGAACTATTGTGTGGCATCACCAAACATACTGCAAAAAACGAGATTCAATAGTGGCTGATAAGGAATCCTTAAAAAAATCGAGAGCCACTTAAGATCAACTCCAGACTAAGAAAATAATCAAGAATATTGATAATAAATTCTCAAGCAAGTTGATGAACTAGTCACCGAAATGGTGACTGGATATTGTCGTTTAAGAAAAAACCTCTACAAAATAGGTAACGTAAATGAAAAATGGTACAGAGGTAAGGGATGTGAGAGAACTGCCATACACATTATATGACATGGCAATGTGCTAAGTGATAAGGAGCAGGGATTCACTGATCACCTGAGGATTGAACCAGAAGACTTATTGCAGTTAACGAAAAAAAAAGCGTTGATACAAAGGTCTTATGACCAAATGCCAAAGATTAAGGTGTCTCGTCTGAACTAAGAGGAGGAAGAGATTGTATTGTACTAAACTGTGTATTATGCTATTCATATCTGGAATGTCCAAAACCTATATTCCAACACCTGATACATCATAAAACTCGAAATTCATTAAATTTTATTTCTATCAAGGATTTGTATATCTTGTGAATAGAGGAGTTGAGTGAATTAAGGATTGTTGAGTTACTTATTGACATCTTAAATAAAAAATTAATGTTTGATGCATCAATTTATTGTTAAGACCTGATGCTAGAAAGTACTACATACCTACCAGTTTGTGTACAAAAGTGTGAAAACGTTTGCCAAAATCGCTCAAGTTCTGTATCTAAGATATACTAAAGCTCAAATTATATGGCAGATTGAAATTGTTGACATTAGCAGAGAACCATGAGCAATAATCTGCAAACAAATATTCTAGCCTGAAGTAAATACCACCATCCAGATGTCAAGAACTAGTACACATAGAAGTCACAAATAAAGAAGTAGAATTAAAAAATATTTAACTTAAGAATATTACGATTAAAAATTTCACAAACTGTAGATTTATTTTTAACATTAATGTTGAGTATTGAGTTGCTTCTTTCCCAATGTTAATCTGATCTAATAGTGCTGATTAAATATTAAAAATTTTGATATTAAACTATTTTCATACACTTAGTGCCATGTAAACAAAATTTTAATTTTTACATGAAAATAGAGAAAATATTGTATGCAAATCGCGCAATAACTTACTCTTTACACTTGTTGCATAAATAACTATTAAAGAAGTTAGTATCTTACAATTTATAGTATCACACTTTTATAATCTATTTTTTTCCCTAACATTCTGAGATTATTTAACTAGTAATTTTTAAATTTCCGATGCATCTTAACTTGAACCATTTTGCACGCTACTTGAGCCGTTTAGAACATTACTGGAACCATTTTGCATACTACTTGTACCATTTTGCATACCTTCTATACTTCCATTTTGTTGATTTTTGATCATAAGTTTGCTCTTATCTACAGTAAATTGTATAGGTTTAGCTGCTGGCTTTGTTCTCAAATAATACATGCCAGTCTTAAGGCCCTTTTTCCAACCATAGAAATGTATAGAAGATAATACTCCATAGCTAGGTTTTTCAACATGTAAATTCAAACTCTGACTTTGATCAATAAAAGCTCCTCTATCAGCAGCCATGTTAAGTATAACCTTTTGAGAGATCTCCCAAACTGTTTTGTAAATAGCTTTTAAATCATCAGGAATAGATGGAATATTTTGAATCGAACCAAGATTGGCCAATATCTGATTTTTCATTGTGTCATCCCACAATCCTCTGTCAGTTAAGTCGTTAATCAAATGTTGATTGACCACTTGAAATTCTCCTGATAAAACTCTTCTAGTATAAATGTTTGAAGTATATGGTTCAATTGATTCATTATTGCCTAATATTTGTGCAGTGGAGGCGGTTGGCATAGGAGCTAAAAGCAATGAGTTTCTTATACCATATTTGCTAATCTTTTCTTTTAAAACTGCCCAATCCCAAAGATCGGTAGGAGTCACATCCCACATATCATATTGAAGGATTCCTTTACTAACAGGACTGCCTTCGTAAGTTGAATAAGTTCCTTTCTCTTGAGCTACTTCACAGCTGGCTTCTAATGCACCATAATAGATAGTTTCAAAAATTTGTTTGTTTAGTAAACTAGCTTCTTCACTATCAAAAGGCAATCTCATGAGTATGAATGCATCTGCTAAACCTTGAATACCAATGCCAATAGGACGATGGCGCATATTAGAATTCTTAGCTTCTGGTACAGGATAATAGTTTACATCAATAATCTTGTCAAGATTTTTTGCAACAACTTTTGTGATTTCTTTAAGTTTCTGAAAATCATATGTTTTTCTATCAGCACTAACAAACATGTTAACAGCAATTGAAGCTAAATTGCATACAGCGATCTCATCTGGTGATGTATATTCTACAATCTCTGTGCATAAATTACTACTTTTTATCACACCAAGATTCTGTTGATTACTTTTTTTGTTGCAAGAGTCTTTGTATAGCATATAAGGTGTACCAGTTTCTACCTGAGACACAATTATAGCTTTCCAAACTTCTTGTGCAGGTAATTGCTTAATGAACTTTCCTTCTGCTTCATATTTTTCATATAACTTTTCAAACTCTTCTCCAAAACAGTCAGAAAGTCCTGGTGACAAATGAGGACACATTAAAGACCACATTCCATTTGCTTCCACTCTTTTCATGAACAGGTCAGGTATCCAAAGAGCAAAAAACAAATCTCTAGCTCTCATTTCTTCTTTACCGGTGTTTTTCTTGAGATTCAAAAAATCTAAAATATCTGCATGCCATGGTTCAAGGTACACAGCAAACGCTCCAGGTCGTTTATTGCCTCCTTGGTCTACATATCTTGCAGTATTATTGAAAACTCTTAGTAAGGGCACTAAACCTTTCGCCTCTCCATGAGTTCCTTTAATATGGGTACCTTTAGCTCTAGCATTATGAATATTGATTCCTATTCCCCCCGCAGATTTTGAAATATAAGCACAACGAGACAACAATTCGAATACTCCCTCCATACTGTCATCAGGTAACATAAGTAAGAAACAAGATGAAAGTTGCGATTTTGGAGTAGCAGCAGAAAATAAAGTAGGGCTGGCATGGGTAAAATACTTCTCTGATAACAAATTATATGTATTGATAGCAGCTTCAGTATCTTCTCCATGAATTCCAACAGCAACTCTCATAAGCATATGTTGAGGACGTTCAGCTATTTTACCATTGATCTTGAGTAAGTAAGATCGTTCCAAAGTTTTTAAACCAAAATAACTATACGAAAAGTCTCGGTCGTAGATAATACAGGAATTCAACCGATCCGCATTCTTCATTACAATATTATAGTGAAACTCCGATATCATAGGCGTATGTTTGTTTGTCCTTGAATCAACCATATGGTGTAAGTCACTGATGACCTCTAGAAAAATAAAACAGTATTAGTTAATCTACATATTCAAATAGATGTAGAGCAATAAATACAAATGTAAGAAAAGTTTGCAATAAATAAATATTCAGGATATGTAGTCAGAGGTTTTAATGGAGTAGTGATGCGCATCATAAGGCGTTGCTTCCAGATAACCCCTCTAGCCTCTCCTACTCAATTGCTATCCTCACCTCCGAGAAGTGTGATCCGGATCACACGGGTGAACCCCGGTAAACCTGAGCAACCTACTGGAGACTGGGTAACCAACCCCAGTGGAAGATGGGGTCAAGGCTGACGAGGAAGGGAGAAATGGTCCTCCGAAAAGAGGGTTGAGCATGAGGCTAACTCCCTCGTCCCATAAAAACCTATTGTTACGAAATCTCGAGATAGAAAAGCCGGACTGAATTCAAGTTGACGACCCACGCACCGAACTAAGGACAATGATTTAAAGATCAGTACTTGGAATGTAAGAACGCTGTATAGGACAGCAGGACTGAAGCTGCTGCAAGATCAACTCCTAAAATATAGAATAGACATTGTAGCCATTCAAGAGATGAGATGGACAGGAAACGGCATTATGCAGAAAAAAGAACATGATATATATTACAGCTGCAACCCGAACCGACATGAGTTCGGAACCGCGTTCCTAGTATCAAAGAAAATCAAAAATTTTATTATTGGTTTTAAAGTCATAAATGATCGGTTATGCATCCTTCGAATCAAAGGAAAATTTTTCAACATATGCTTGATCAACGGGCACACGCCAACCGAGGAAAAAGACGAAGAAATTAAAGATCTATTCTACGAAGATCTCGAAAAAGCATATGATAACTGTGCCAAAAACGATATTAAAATAATCATTGGAGACATGAACGCCCAGATAGGAAAAGAGATATGCTACCAAGATTATATTGGTAAACACATCCTTCACGACGCTACTAATGACAATGGTTTAAGGCTTATTAGTATGGCAGCTTCCAAAGATTTAATTGTGGGAAGTACATGTTTTAATCATAAGAATATCCATAAAGCAACTTGGATATCACCAAATGGACACACTACAAATCAAATTGACCATGTTATAATTGACAGAAGGCACTTTACAAACCTAATGGTCGTAAGAAGTTTCAGAGGCGCAAATATTGACAATGAGCAGCCGAAAGCACATTGGGAATATCCCGAACCCAAGAAAGAAACGACTGGTTCGACCAAGACTGCAAAAAAAAATAACAGATGAGAAGAACGAGGCATTTAGGACCATGCAACAACGAAAAACTAGAACAACAATAGATAGATACAAAAACTTAAGGAGAGAGGAAAAACGCATACACCGAAAAAAGAAACGAGACTCGGAAAATGACATATTAGAACGGCTCGAAAGCCACATGAGTCACGGAGAAACAAGAAAGTTCTATCATCAAATAAATATTATTAGAAAATAATTCAAACCAAGAATCAACTATTGTAATGATAAGGAAGGTAACTTACTTACCAACAAATAGGATACCCTTTTACGATGGGCAGAGCACTTTCGAGAGTTGCTGAAAGGAGAACCTACTAACAATATAGAGCTGGAATACCGAAATGAGGAACTCGTGGAACTCCCCTCGGTAGATGAAGTGAAAATATCTATAGAAAAACTAAGGAACCATAGGTCCCCAGGTAGCGATGGCATCCCAGCAGAGTTATTTAAGCACGGTGGAGATCAGCTCACCAAGGTGATGCGAGAAATTGTTTGTAGAATTTGGTCTGAGGAGCAAATGCCTGAAGAATGGAGCTTAGGCTTAATTTGCCCGTTACACAAAAAGGGAAACCAACTGGAATGCAATAATTACCGCGGAATAACTCTCCTAAATACAGCATACAAGATATTGTCAAATATTTTGCACGAGAGATTAAAGCCTTATACTGAAATGTTTTTTAGAAGAATATCAGGTAGGATTCAGGCGTGGACGTTCAACCATTAACCAGATCTTTACACTACAACAGATCCTCAGACAGAAAAAGCGCAAGAGTTTAACATAGATATG